ATCGTCCAGAAAATGTACAAGATATCCAAAGATAAATTGCGATGAGAAGAACTTAACAAACAATCTAACAATCTCTTTCAGGCTGAACAAGTCTTTTTATTAGTTCAGTAGCCACAACTGGACCAACAGGAGGAGCTACAACTAGAGGAATAGGTTTCATTAAAATGTAAATTACCCCAAAAACTCCTACTCCTACAAATAATGTATGGAGATAAATCCATTACTTGGATTCTCTCTTTTTTTTCAACTTTTTTTTCAACTTCTTCTTCTTCTTTTTTTAAAAAGAAATATCTTTTCACTTCGCAGCATTTTACCAGCTCTTACTCTTTTTTCTAATTTCTTCTCTGACTGCTTTTCTTCTTTCATTTTACTATTTAGCATATACTTATCAATTTTCAATTGGTTGTTTAGGATAGCTAAGCATTTTCAATTGGTTGTTTAGGATAGCTAAGCATTTTCAATTGGTTGTTTAGGGTAGCTAAGCATTTGCTCAGAAAATTGCTTAGATTGCTGCTTAACAATTCAAATGGTTTTGTTACATCGACATAATTTAACATTATTTTATTGTTGCTAAAACAACAGTTAATAAGGCAATTCTTAATCCCAAACGTTGGTAGATTTCTCCCGCAAAAATGCATAAATCTTGCTGAAGGACTTGATTATTATCAAGATCTTCTATAAGAGCCTCATGATTGCCAACTAGAAAGACTTTTTTAGTGAACCGTTTTTACAGCCATTTTTGAAACTTAATTTCCCAAGTCACGTCCCATTCTTTCTGTATATTGCGAATAAAGACTGGTTATTTGCTCAGGTGTCATTTCTGACAACTTTTGATGTGTTAACCACCGTCTAAGAAGCTTTGCACTATTTTCTCCTGAATCAGCAGCACCTAGACGCCATCTGTAAAGTTTGATAGAATTATCTTTTTCACAAGATAACACTTCAACCTCATCCGACTCAATTAAATCTTCTAATACGCCACACCATTCAATCCAAAACGCCAATTTTATTAGGTAAAAAATTTATTATTGGTAAAAAGTGGTATTCACTTAAACTTATTATTGGTTGACAAAACTTCTATTTAAAGCAGTACGTTTTTATATATAACATTGAAAATGAGTATCAACAACTAAGATGATCCAAAAAAGAATATGACAGCAAATGTCATCTACCACAGTCTAACAGTTGAACTGTTTACTGTAGGAGTATCAAAAGCTGTAAAAAATGAAAATGATAAAGCGTACTGAGCTTGATTTTGAAATGTCAGGTTTAGGGAAATATGTTTTTTTTCTAACTATCAGTGAGGTAATACGCCAAACACTTGTTGACTACGAGTGGATACCAGTTAGCATTATGAAAAATGAAACTCTTCCAAATTAATAAATTAAATAAACATAATAACAAAAGATGGAAGGCGTTGGGATGATTATCTTTGGTGCTATAGCTGATGCTCTGGCACCTAAGGTAATCATAAATAAATCATTAAATAAAACACAAAAATTAGCTTTACGCAACCCATCCGGATGTCACGTAATGCTAACAGTTTTTTTAATTTTTTTTCATTTTCAAAAGTTTTTGTATTTTTTTGTATTTTTTTAGATTTTGAAAATTTTTGTTGTATTTTTTATATTTTTTATGAACACAGCTTAGTTTTGCTGGTTAACAACATAGTTGCATTTATCTAATTGAGCATAGATGCAGCTAGATCACAAATGTCTAAGTTTGAAGCAACAAGAGCATAATTTCTTGCTAAGGCAGCGAGATCTGGAACAACATAATTAAACTGAGGTTCAGGAAGTGGGATACCAAAAGAAATGCATTCACACCTAATGCATTTCTATAAAAGACAATTATATCAGCGAGATTAGTTTGATTGGCAGGCTGTCCTACTGCAACAAGAGCTGCATTAATTTGTCCGAGGCGGGTGTTTACTGCTGATTGCCATGCTTAATGATCTTGATCAAATGTCTGCTTAAGACGATCTTTAGTCTCAAACTCAGCTTCAACTAGATTAAGGAAACGCATTTGCAAGTTTATACTGCTTGAGCCATTTTGACATATATATATATATATATATATATATATATATATATATATATATATATATATATATATATATATATATATATATATATATATATATATATATATATATATATATATATATATATATATATATATATATATATATATATATATGTATATATATATATATATATATATATATATATATATATATTATTTTTAGATCTTTAATTGAAAGTTTGTTGCATTAATAATAAGATGGGTTTAACTCTTACAAGAGAAAACAATATCATAAGCGTTGGTCCCTGAAAATACTTGTCGATTCGCTTATTGAAAAGGAGAGCTCAGCACAGTTAAAATAATGCTGAAAGATTATCTCCTCGCATGGGATCCAATTTTTTGTATTGAAACAATTAGATTTAACCAGCTTGAATTTGTAAAGTATCTTTACCATAGTTACCCTCCAAGCAGAAAATTTGATCATACTTGGCAAATTGAAGCTTTTTAAAAAGCTGTGCATGTTGGGTCATTAGAAAGTGTAACATTTCTGACTGATGAAGAATATAAGTGGGATTATAGCATTGTAGCTTTAGCTGTAGAAAAAAAAATTAAAAAGAAATAGTTACTCTGCTAAATAATGCTGGTAACCCATACAATAAATATACATGTCTTGCTGTTAATGATGGCATTCATGCTGGTATTACCAAGTGGACAATTAAATATAAATGTCTCTGAAATAGAATATCCTGAAACTGTAAGATTACTTATTGAACAAGGGTGTTCTTGTAGATAAAAATGAATCATAAAGAAGCTCATAAAATGGAAAAAAAAAATGTAAACGTTTTACGAGCTTGCATTGTAAAAAAAAAATGAGTGGTACAATTTTTTAGGAGCTGATGTCGCTATTTGACAAATATTAGCTCCTGACAAAGATATAACAAGCGAATATAACGAAAGTTATATTGAATTTGATAAAATATATTTTTCACTGCGAATGTTCTAAATTCTATTCTAAATTTTTTGTAGCTTAAGAAATTTTAATTTTCTCCTAAATAGATAATATTTCAGTCATTATATCAAGTGGTGTACCACAGGGGTCAGTTTTAGGACCACTGCTGTTTTTGATTTTTATTAATGATTTGCCAGATCAAGTCAAAAACCCTATTAAACTTTACGCTGATGATAGTAAAATAATAAATATTATAAAAAATCCTAATGATTCAATAAGCCTTCAAAATGATATAAATAACATTATGGCATGGTCATCTATTTGGCTCACAAAATTTAATTATGAAAAATGCAAAGTTATGCATATTGGGAAAAAAAATCCAAATGCTACATTTATAATGACTGATATTGATTGCAATTACAATTATACATTGTGTAACACAAAAGCTGAACGTGATTTGGGTATAATGGTTCAATCCGATTTAAAATGGCACTCACAAGTTGATTCAGCAACCAGCAAAGCAAACAGAATGTTAGGTACCATAAAGAGAAGCTTTAAATATTTAGATGTAAACATGGTAAAAATGCTCTATACAACGTTCATACGTCCACATCTTGAGTTTGCGGTCCAGGCATGGTCTCCATTTTTAAAACAAGACATAGACAAGATTGAGAAAATCCAAAAAAGAGCAACCAAACTAGCACCTACAATTAGGAAATTATCATATGAGGCTAGGTTGAATATTATGCAATTAACGTCACTGGAAGAACGTAGACTACGTGGAGATCTGATTCAACAATATAAAATTCAGCATGGCCACGATAAAATAAATTGGGTTGCTAACGATTGTGGAAATGCATTGGAGGAGGGTCCATGTCTGCGACAACACAAATTCAAAATGAGGAAGCCTTTTAGCAGAAATACCTTCAGGTATCATTTTTTCCAAAATCGAGTTGTAAATGCGTGGAACAGCTTACCATCCGAAATAATAGAAGCTACTTCAATAAATAACTTCAAAAACAAACTAGACAGAGCTGGATTTTGCAGAAACTATTTGTTAAAACACAAACAAAAGACAAAATGAGCTGTTACAGTGCAATATCTTATGTTATTGCACTTCTCAACTGTTTAAAACAGTTGTTACAGTTATACCTTATTATTATTATTATTAACTTTATCAGAAAGTTTTTTTTATTTCTGACTCTAGGTATGTAACATAATAATATGAGCGCTCGATGCTGCTAACCCTAGCTAATCTCAAACGGAGCTGTGACCTCTTTTTACTCTGCAACTCACTTACATCTTTATTACTTATCAAATTCTTCTTTGCTATCTTTTATTACCTCAACGAGGTGTTTGCTTTTTATATTTTTTAACAATTTTTTCATTTTTATATTGTAGACACGTCTTTCTAATTATAAATTTATAATGAAGTTTTCTAAGATTTATTATAGCTCAGAAGGTATTGGCGCAGTCTTGCTGCTATTAAAAGCTTGCAGTAGCAGCAAAGGTTTCTGACAAAGAGGCTGGTGAATGGCTTAAAAAATCAGCCGTATGTTAAATTTATTTATCTACCCCCACCAATATACCAAGAGCAATAGTTAACAAAACTCATCCTAATGAAGTACACCAGGCTGATTTGCTTTATCTACCTCATGACAAAATTGGTCAACATACTTATAAATATGCATTAATGTTTGTTGATATAGCTAGCCACTATAAAAACGCTGAATCTATTTCTAACAAAACATCTGCTAATGTTTAAAAACCTCTTGCAAAAATATATAAACTTAGCCCTCTCACCTGGCCTAATCTTATTCAAGTTAATACTGGAAGTGAATTTATATCTATTAACAGAGTATATTTTAGGTCTTAGCCCAACAAATTCTTGAATTATATAAAACTGAAATAATAGCCGGTTGAACACCGTGAGCAACGCATAGCTGTTGTTTAATCTGTAATAGTTTTCTAATTTTTTTATCACGCTCCAACTTTTTTCATTTTTTTTCATTATTAACTTTCATCACTAAATACTCTTTTCAAGATTTAAACCAAATGAAAATATTTTTTGTTTAACATTATCCCTACAATCCTTTTGTTTAACATTATCCCTACAATCCTTTTGTTTAACATTATCCCTACAATCCTTTTGTTTAACATTATCCCTACAATCCTTTTGTTTAACATTATCCCTACAATCTTTTTGTTTAACATTATCCCTATAATCCTTTTGTTTAACATTATCCCTACAATCCTTTTGTTTAACATTATCCCTACAATCCTTTTGTTTAACATTATCCCTACAATCCTTTTGTTTAACATTATCCCTACAATCCTTTTGTTTAACATTGTCCCTACAATCCTTTTGTTTAACATTGTCCCTACAATCCTTTTGTTTAACATTATCCCTACAATCCTTTTGTTTAACATTGTCCCTACAATCCTTTTGTTTAACATTATCCCTACAATCCTTTTGTTTAACATTATCCCTACAATCCTTTTGTTTAACATTGTCCCTACAATCCTTACTAAGCATAAATTCCAAAAATTGTCTTTACCGTGTAAATTGATATTCAACTAACGGGAAATTCAAATAGACGTCCACTTATCAAAAGAAAATGAAAAATTAGTTCCGTTGCTAGTTTTTTTGTTTTAATTCGTTGCTTACAAAATTTTTTATATTGTTAGAGAAATCATTTTTTTAATAGTGTTTAGAAATTCAGGTTGAAAAACTGCTAAATAACCAGCCAATTACGTATATCAAGAAAAGTGTATATTACGTTAAAAGAAATCCTATCTTTAGCTGTTACTCTTACAAGTATCTCACACAAGCTGTCTTCTTTAATCATATTTGATGAATAATATAAACTACTTTTACTTTTTTTACTCTATGGTTCTTCTTCCGCTTTTAAATTTATTTTATGCAACTGAAGTAGATGTGAATCAAGAGTTTTTGTTGATCCGCCAGTAAATTTTAATATTTTTTTGCAATGGCATAGTTTACACATTGCTGTTTCACTTTTGTTGTTGCGAAGAAAATTTTTCGATATATGGGGGTGTTGCTGTTAAACTCTATGAAATTTAACATGGTATCCTAATTTGACGAATGAAAGAAAATATAAGAATTCATTAAAGCTTCTAAAACCTGTTTAATAGAGAGTTGGTAAAAGCAAGTCCTTGAACACATCTAGTGATCTTTAAACACATCCGTTGGAGCAGTAAAAACTTCTTTTGAAGGATTTTTAATTACTTGGCAGTTCAAAGAAAAATATTCTTTCCTGCTACAATACTGCATTTTCCTCGTCAGAACAAAATGATAATGGCAATTTGTTTTTTTATTTCAAGTTTGCTTTCAAGGTTGGTTTTACCGAACTATAAAAAACTACTTGAAATCTGATTTTTCAAGAATGAATTCATTTCAAGTTTGTTTCTTGCATTACACTTTAGTCAGACTTCAGATATTGAAGTATAACTTGAAATTTCAATTTCGCTTCTTGCATTTGGAAAAGACATTTTCTTTTTCAAGGAGGCTTTTCAAGTTCGCTCTTTGTATTTGCTTAAGTCAATTTTCAGACCTAAAGTATGACTTTAAATTTCAAGTTCGCTTCTGGCATTCTACCTTTGAACACGAGTATTTCATAATTTCTAAACCTCGGGATACTTTCTTATTTTCCCGGAAATCCGGGATTGCAAACCCTAAACTCAAGGATGGTATTATTGAGTACGCACGAATCAAACTAACTGTAAAGAGGATATTCTATATGTCTTATTGAGCGGTGATAAAAGAAGATTCCGAAACAACTAAGCTAAGGATTGTGTTTGATGCTTATGCTAAAGAGGATGAATCGCTGTCACTCAACGATTGTTTGCATATTGGTTCTCCATTACAACCTTGACTACTTAATGTTATTTTTCCAAACAGATTGCAACCTGTTCGTCTAAGTGGAGACATTAAACAAGCTTTTCAAATAAGGGTTGATACAAAAGATCATAATAACTTCCGTTTCTATTGGATATCCAACTTAAAAATAACGAAGTTATTACTCTGCGATTCACTCGAGTCCCGTTTGGATGTACATCTAGCCCCTTTATACTTGGGGGAGTAATCAAACAACATTTACTGACATATGAAAATCATTACCCACATCAAAATAATGAAATTCAAATAATCAACAAGAGCATATACGTTGCTGACATAATCACTGGAGGGATTGAAATGAAGAATGTTAAAAATTTAGCTAGCCACTATTCATTTATTCAAAAAGGAGGATTCAACCTTCAAAGTGGCATTCAAATTTTCCTGTATTGGAAACAAATGATTCAAGAGAGAACTATAATGAAGTAATCCCCAATAAACACCATCAACGTTATTTAAAAACTCTTGGTTTGCTATGGGACAAAAGTAATGACACTTTAACTGTGGATTGCAGGCCTACTTGTGAGACAGATTGTTTAACCAAAAGAGAAATATTAGAAAGAGAAATATTAGAAAGATTGGCTAAAGTCTTCAACCCACTTGGTGTAATTTCTCGAATAACGCTAACAGCAAAACTAAATTATTGACAAATATTTGATTTACAATATTCTTGGGATAAACCAATTTTACCAGAGTTAGCAGAGAACTGGATGCTTTTGAAAAATACTTTACCAGATCTAACACCAATACCAAGAAGTATTACTGTTTTGAATCATATGATAAAAAAAATTGAAATCCATTGGTTAGGTGATGCAAGTAAAAATGGCAGCAGTACAATATATGTCATAGTACATCAAGGTAACAAAGTCACTGAAGGAATACTTACTGCTAAATTACGCATTTCCAAACGAAGTTTATCTATTCTACGACTTGAATTAATTTCGGTACACATGGTAGCTGAAGTCCTTAAAAACGTTAAACCGGCACTTAATGGACACCCAATTATTGAGATATATGGTTGGCTTGATAGTTCGGTGTCATTACATTGGATACTCAATGACAATAGCAAGTTAAAGCAGTTTATATCAAATTGAGTCAAAGAAATTAATAAACGAAGTTGTATTATTTGGCGCCACTGCCCAACCGATCAGAATCCAGTAGATATTGGAAGTAGAGGAGCAAAAAACTGAAAACCTCTTTAAGTCTGATTTAACATTCCATGGCTGGCCAAATAGAATGAATGGCCACCCAGAAATAGATGTAAAAAGTTAATCCGACTAATATACATCATTTTGGTACAGTCGAGAAATTTTTCTATTTGAATGAGCTTATGAACAAGTATCAACTACCAAATATTAAAACAATAATGGCATGGGTCTTAAGATTTTCTAACAATATCAGAAGTAAAAAAATGTTGTGGTTTGCTATCAGCTACCGAACAAAACAAAGCGAAAAAGAAGCTAACCAAAAATGTTCAACACGAATTTGAAAACTTCGAAAAGTATAAAAAAACTTCAGAAAGATTACAATTACGCAACTAGTCTGTATGGGTCGTTTACAGAGCGAATACCCGTTATTTTTACCTTGCAAGCATCCATTGCAAGCTCAACTTTCGAAAGATATAAAGAAGTTTTGATTAATATTGAGATTACATTGAATAACTGACCATTAGTAAACATTTAAAACGATATTCAACTTCCAGTTTTCCACGCTAAGTTCTTGCATTTCGTGATATACGTCGAGCAGCGACGTATATCACAAAATGCAAGGACTTAGCGTAGAAAAGATGGACAACCGAGTACATAGGGTCATTATGAAAAAATCATCTACACAAAGAATCAAAAAGTCATAACAGTGCGAGAGATTTTCTTACTTAAAGGAGAAGAAAAGAATCGAGGCGAAAATTAGTATAGTTACTAAACTTATTCGAGGAGAAAACAATATAATTCGCGGTGCTAAATTAAGAATTACAAATAATCAAACAGTGGAAAGACCTATTCAGATGCTTTATCCTTTGGAAATTAGCTGCCAAGGATCTAACGAGACTGAAAAAAACATAAACGATTCTAAAATTCTAAAACCACATTGCAAGAGCAATAACTAGAAAGCAAAAACCAACACGAAAAGCAAAATCAAATGCTAAAGAACTTATACTTGTAGATATTTTATCTATAAATCAAGGAGTGTGTCATGAACTTTAAGTATTTAGTACGAATATAACCTCTGTCACGCGATGACGTCTTTTTTCATGGCTTTTTGGATGGGTTTTTTTTATTGTGTAGTTTTTGAAAAAGTTGTAGCACCCAGCATGCACTTTTTATTTTACTTAGTAAATGACAGGAAGCATTTACAAATGGTACAATTTTGGTTCCTTACTTATTTATTTTTCTATAGCATATGATTTTATTTCATATGACTCGGGGGAGAACGGGGTTGGTTTTCGCACATTTTACATTTTAGATTGCTCAATTTTTATCTTTCATCAAATCAATGTCAAACTTTGTACAAAAGTAATTTAACTATTTCCGGTAAGTATTACAATATTTTTATGACATTGAGTGAAATATTTTGCTGTAAAATCATTTATCAAAGACCTCTTCCGTGTGGCAACCAACTGGTTGTCACATTTCTTGGTATGTTTTGATTATATTTAAAACTAGTACCAATAAATTTTGTTTATATAATACAAAGAATAAATCTGAATAATCAGAAAAAAAAGCTATACACTGAAAAAAAGAAAATACTATATACCGAAAAATGTTTTTTTTTTTTAATATAACACTATAAACACATTTAGTTTAGGACTATATAAGTGTTTTTAAAAATGGTGTTTTTATAAACTGTTGGATGAATAACACTAATATATAGCTCCATTGAAGTGAGCTATTCTTTTGGACTGAAAAGCTTGGCGTGCTTCAGAATATCCAGATGATGGCACTCTTAATAACTAGCTAGACCGGATGTAACCAAATGTGCTTCATTAATTAATTTGGGCCAAGAATATCTAAATTCATAAGATCCTCAATAGGAACCCTCATAAGCTTTATCTCTTCCTCTAAAGTAATGTTTCCTGATTGAAATGACACGCTGACAATTGCTTAGCGTGCTTCAAACCAGAAGGTTGTCATGATAATAAACTCAAATCAAAAAATTCATTTCTCCAAACTTTTATGTCATTCAATAGATTAGCAGTTAAATCAAGTACCTGAAGTTTCTGCAAAGAAAAAATAATTTCTCTAGGTTGCTTAACTAACGGCTTCAAAGTCTCAATCCGTGCACTCCATCGGGTTTGTAAGGTTTAATGAAGAGACAAAACAGTTGTCTAGGTCAAGATTTGACATTGTATAGGGCTTCCACTAAAAAGATTATAGAGTAACTGAATCCGGCCAATATAGTTCTTCATTTCTACAGAAGATACAAGGGAATGAACACCAGCTAGGTTAAGGTTATGAGCGCTGCATAGTATGTAGGAAGCTTCAGGATTTCTCTGAAGGATGATCGCTTTTACTCCTTTATACACACCAGACAGATTTTGGCACCGTTGTTGTACCCTTGACCTCGACAGTTCTTCAGATTGATGTCATTTTGATAGCAGAAATCCATAATTATCTTGGCAATATCCACAACTTTCTTTTGTTTAAGATTTTCGACCTTAAGAAAGCGCTCCTTAACTACCTGTCTTTTATCAATACCATTGTAGACAAAGCAGAGAACAAATGCAATTTGCTCAGTATAAGAGACGCCAGGCGTTCCGTCGACAAGGATAAAATAGTAAATTACTATATGCGCATCTTTAATGATGGCACCGTGGACGATCTTTCGCACTTTTTTATAAATTCATTTTGAGAACTCCAACCCAAAAAATGCACAATAATATTACCTTCATAATAACCTTCATATTATATTATATTACAATAATATTACAATAATATTACCTTCATATTACAATAATATTACCTTCATATGCACAATAATATTACCTTAATAATAACCTTCATGTTGACACCAGGAAACCTCTTTCTGATGTAACTAAAGGGTCTTGTTGTGCTTTGCGAGTAGCTCTAGAGTTGCAAGAAAAATACCGTTATCGTCATCATTGATCATTTTTGAAGTCTAAAACGACGATTTTAATACATACATGTAATAATACATGTTTACACATACACACCATGACTTTTTGTTTAATTATAATAAAAATAAATTATGACATAAGTAAAAATATAATAATTAACATTCACTAATATACCTCAAAAGCGTGATGCTAAAAAGAGAATTACATCTAAGATGCACTTTATAATTTCACGCTGCCTGGCTGCCTCATTTCTTATCAATTTTTCTAAACTTGAATCAATCTTGCACTGGTTTCTCTTTTAGCGCTGTTTTTCACTTAATGTAATAGTCTCGATGGATTGTTTTGGTGGCATTTTTTAACTCCATTGATGCAACCATTCCATATTTAATATATATATATATATATATATATATATATATATATATATATATATATATATATATATATATATATATATATATATATATATATATATATATATATATATATATATATATATATATATATATGATTATATATGTTCTTTTTTAACCTAGCAGGCCTTAAAAGTAATATATTCCCGCAACGGTTTTGGCTAGTGTCAGACTCCCGAATATGAATTCGGCTAATGCTGTATTTTTGAGTAAACAATTCATTTTTAAATTAGGAGTTTAAAGAGATTTTCCATTAAAGCCCTGCGTATCTATTTTATAAAAAAAAAAAGTTTTCATTTGTGCGCCCCTTCTGATCCTGCGCCCAGGTAAAAAGTACCCAGTGACCCTCCCCACGCGGCGGCCCTGTATATATATATATATATATATATATATATATATATATATATATATATATATATATATATATATATATATATATATATATATATATATATATATATATATATATATATATATATATTTCAAAGTCGACCTCCGACTTTTAGTCAAAGCCGATAACAACGATAACCAACGATAAACTTACGATAAATATTACGATAAAAGCGAATTATAGTGTATTTTACATAAGTGTAAGTGCTGACGTAGATTTTAGTCAATATTCCAAGAACAATAAAAATTAATAGTTGTTATGTTTCTTTTGCAAAATTGTTTTAACTTATATGTCATTAAATATTGGTCGCAATTTTCTAACAAAGCTATTAATTCATAGAAGCAAGCAAAGCAATAGTTATCAAATTATACCAAGATTATATTGTGAGTTATCAAAATATATAAAAATGACCAATGAGTGTGTTCATCCTTCAGAAGATAACAGTAAAGATTTAAAGAAAATAGCCGATGAAAATCTTAAAATTATTACAAGAAATCTCCAGGTATTATGTTTTTAGTGTTTTATGATTAGGTGACCAGTATATGGTGGCCTTTTCCTACCTTTAACATTATAGTTAGTTTACCAGTTTTACCAGCTTTTTTTGCGAGCATAATGCTTTCTGTTACTATTATTCAGTGCTCATGATGTTTTGAAATATATAGCTTTTTTATTTAAATTTTTTTCTTGATATTATGAAATGTTTTTGAAAAATGTTTGTTTTTAGTGAACGTACTAATTAATCAATCAATCAATTACACTTTAATTACTGCATACCTATACAATAGTGAGAAACAGTTACAAATAGTTAAAAATTAATGAGGTGTAAGGTCCCAGATAAAATTTTTCATTTTTAAAGTTTATTTAATAAACATATTATAGTTGTTAATGTTATGGTGATAAACCTGGTAGATTCTAATAAATACTGTTCTTCAGATTCTTTTGACGTTGACGTTCATATATTTATTTAATGATGAATGTCTAATTTAAGAGATATATATCATAGGAAGTTTTATTTTCAAATAATTTTTATTCTAGTTAATACGTTATTAGATATATCAATGATGCTTTTTGAATTTATTAATTTTTATTTCATCGAAACTATTTTACGCATTTCCAAAGTGTGCACGAATTAATGATTAAAAAAAAGCATGCTAAAAAAGCAATAATGTTTAAGTATGGTTTCTTTTAAAATTTGGTTTATTCATTTTAAGTAAAATTTGGCATGCTTTTGAACATGTCATTTTAACAATTATTAAAAATAATTATTAAAATTACTGTTTTTTTTATTTATTTTAGTTACAATGATGTTTTTTTTTGTTTGTTTGTGTTAGTTACAATGGTTTTTGAGAAAAAATTATACTTTTAGGGGAGTGTTAAGCTCTCGCTTCCCGTCGACGTCTAATATATATATATATATATATATATATATATATATATATATATATATATATATATATATATATATATATATATATATATATATATATATATATATATATATATATATATATATATATATATATATATATTAGGTACGTACATAAAAATTTTAAACCGTTTATATATAAGACTATTATATATCATTGGAAAGAGCTTTAAATTAATATTAAAATGGCGAAAATTTCATAGAAAAAGAATGATTCTATAAAAAGTTATGCAAGTTTAAGTATCAAAATTTAACAACAAAGATTACTTAAGAAAACTGCGACCAACATTAAAATTTCACGTTCGGCTAACGGTAGTTTTGTAATAGAACATTTTTGCAAACTCGCGCAGTATTTTTTTCTCGGGTTTGAATTTTTATTGAATAAAGTGTCAAAGTAGCGAATATAATAATTTAGTTAATCAAAATATTTCTTATGTAAAAAAAAAAATCAAATTAATTTCCTTAGGTATATAACAAGGCCTTCTTAAACAGGCCGCGACAGCTAAATTTCCGTAAAATTAGCGAAGGCCGACTTTTTTACGGAGAATTAAAGTTTCAATGAGGATTTTGGTTGTTTGATTTAAACTATAAGTTATGGATTAAAAAACTTCCAAATGCAAACTTTGTGTTTACAGATTATAAGCTAATTTGTGCTCAGCACTGGCCTAAAGATGCAGAATTAAAAAAAGTCAAAGGTGGTAGTTTTGTTCCAGTGCATCCTCCATCAGTCTTTAAAGGTATACCAGTGTCTTGTATTCCAATAGTGTCTAGAAAACGAGATGTCACTGGGTTAATATGCTCTGAAAGAAATAATTTACCTGATGAGTTCGAAAACTTCAAAAAAATGAACGTTATTAAATTTAATTTAATTGTTAAAAATTTGAAGTCAATAATAAATACCTGTGAAGAAAAAATTTATTTTGTTGAAAAAGAAAAAAATATATCTTTAATATCATATGAACATTGTGGACCAGTACCTAAGTTTTCAATATATATAACTTTAGAAGATTCTGGAGATATTTATTTTACTGTATAAAGCCAACTTTTACAAATTAAACTTTTTTAAAAAAAGGAGTTAATAAATATTATTCTCAACTGGAGAATGCTGTTAGTTATGTTATTAATAATGAAACAGATTCTAAGCGAGCAAGTTATATTAGGCATCAAGTAGCTTTATTAAATAAAACAAACAATACACCATTTTCTTTAGAAGACATTTCTGAAGCATTGCATCTTTATTCAAAATCTCGTTTAGTATATTTTGATCTCGTTGAAAAGCTTGTTTTGCTACAAATTCTACAACAAATTTTCAAACAAGCGTGATAGAAAAGATAAATCAACAAATCATAATTGCAGGTGGAAAGCCTTTTGGGTCAATAATGGATAACTGTTGAGTAAACCAAAAAACATTTCAATATTTTAATGCAAAAAAAGTTCCAGCATACTATCTTTTAAATGACACTGTGCATATTTTAAAATGTATTCGAAATAATTGGATCACTGAATAATTACAATGTTTAAAATATAGATTGCTAAATGATAACGATACTGTGCGACTTGCAGAATGGAAATTTATAATTCAACTTCATGCTGCAGATAGTCAAATAGTTAAGTTGTCACCCTTAACACAAAAAGCTGTGTCACCAAAACCGATTGAGCAACAAAATGTTGGATTAGTTCTTAAAGTTTTTTGTGATAAAACAGTTGCAGCATTACATGTATAATTTCCTGAAGCTGAAGATACTGCACTTTTTATTGAAACAGTTGTTAAGTGGTGGCTTATTGTCAACAGTAAAGCAAAAGGTCTAGATATTAGATTAAATGATATTCGAAAAAAGCCTATTTCTTCAGTCAATGATTGGCAAATAGATTTCTTAGAGAACTTTATTTCGTATTTTGCTGAAAGTTCGAAATGTGTAAATTCAAAATTAAGAGAGAAAAAGTTAACAATGGATACTGCAAGTGCTTTGCAAAAAACTTCTAAAAGATTAGCAAGCTGTGCCAAGTATTTGTTGAATTGCGGTGTATCTTATGTATTGTTAGGACATATGCAATCAGATGCACTAGAAAAACAGTTTGGGAAATATCGGCAAGGGTCAGGTAGCACATATCTGATAACTGTGCAAAATGATATTCAAAAATTTAGAATCGACAAAACTAGAAAGTTGCTAGACAAACATACAGATTTTACAATATTTCCTCCTGCTCACCACCACTGTGATAAGTGTGAATTTTATGCTGAGTTTAATATGTCAATATGTGAAAATTGTGAGGATCACTTGCCAAATGAATGCAAACAAGGGCTTTTATATATTGCAGGTTTTATTGCTTACAAACTTCCAGAATTACACTCAATTTTAGAAGAAACAGACACCTTTGATATGTTTCAAAAATATGGAACTTTGATCAGTTCTTTGAACAGGGGAAGCCTTCTGACAATTTAGTCTACTTTGTTTTTTATTGTTTTTTTATATTTGAAGTGACACTTGTGAATAAAGTTTCACCATTGCTGTGCAAGAAAGGATTAATTGACATTTTTATTAACTGCAATAGTAAATTTCAATTGCTTGTTCAAAGTGTTAAAAAAGTTTGCTGCATTTTGGCAAACATTTTTTTAAACAATTATTGTAAAAAACACTCTAAAGATTTTGGGAAGGAATGTTTAATAAAACAAGCAAAACTTTCAACTTCAAAATAAAACACTTTGAGTCAAAAAAGTCAAAATAATTTTAATAAAATAAATTAATATATTTGTTTGTTTTTATCAAAAAATTTATTATTTGTATTACAAGTGTTAAACAGCTAAAATAAACATATAGTTAGAAAAACGAGATTTAGTCATTTTTAGCTAAACTCCTTAAATTTTTATTGTAATTAATTTATTTCTAAACGTAAAAAAAATTCCTACAATATTTGCTTTCGAAATTCAATCAATATGTTTTGTCCTAATAAAGCTCTTTATTTGTTTCTGAAGTTTGTTTACAAAAGCAAAGATAAAAAATAATTTTAACCGTCCTTCGCTAATTTTACGGAAAATGAGCTGTCGCGGCCTGTTTAAGAAGGCCTTGGTATATAACAAATATTGCGAACATCATATAAAAACAATTATAATAATATTGCGTACATTTTAAAGACAAAAATATTTAACAGTAAAACGCTTCTTCTTATCAAGTATAAAATTTATAGAATATAGGAAAAAACGAGTCGCTGAACTATCTGATGTTTTTTTCTGTCCTTATTTTAATGTCTATATTTTTACTCCGTTTCACAAAAAGTTTTAATTACACTCTTATAAAAAAAACATGTTTAAAAAGAAACAAACGTGTATTTTTTTGGAAGGGCCTTAAATAATAGTGGAACTAGTCCAATTGCAAAAAGATTCATTAACGAATTTTTTTTTATCTCTCATTAAAATTTATTAAAAATACATAAGAGGATACAGAAAACGGGTCACGGTTCCTAGTTATAGCAAATAAGTTAGCTCTATTGGTTTGATTTTATCTTAAAGTTTAATTTTATTCTGTAAAGAATATATCAGTACGAAGTAACAATTTAAAAGAGAAAAAATATTAACATAACTAAAGTCTCTTTAACAGAGATGACATTTGCTTAACATTTCTTCCAGTATTTTTTGAGGCTGTAAAATTAATAAAATTTTTAATTTATTAATATTTTAAAGGCCTCACATTTTCCTTATAAAGCATAAGGAAGATATAGAAACGGGTCACGGATCCTAGTTATGTCAAATAAGTTAGCTCTATTTGTTTGACATTTCTTAAAGCAACTTTTCTGCAACAAATTCTCAACTAATTCTTTCAAGTTATTTGTAACACCTGTTTTAGCAAATTATTAAACTAATATAGCTATGATTTGTACCGAAAATCTCGATCCGTATTTACCAAGGTAATAAAAGTATAAACGGTCTCTATTCATATATAAAAACATAACGAAAATATAAAGAAAAACAAAGCCAAACGAACAATGTATGTAATACAACACTATAATTTCAATGAGAAAAAATTTACAAATTTATGTGAGAAGCAAAACACATTTTTCTTGAGATAAAAAAAAAAATT